TAAATAAATATATCTACGATTTTCAACTTTTTAGTAATTTATTATTATAATTGTTATAACATACTCGTTACCTATGATATATTTTTTTTAAATTTCAATTAGATTTTTTTCTATTATGGTAGTTTRGTAACTGTGGCATTGGAATATTAATATAACAATTTAAAACATAGTTAATGTAATAAGGTTAGTCTTAGTATAATAAAGCGTCCCAAATTGTTTAATCAAATCCACTGGTCGCTATTATAGATAATAGATTTGATGCAATCTGCTTCAGAAACAAATTATTTAAATTTCAGTTGAACAAAGGACTTGTAGCATTTGCATATTTGTTTTTCACAGTCACAAAAATAACAGAGTAAGAAATAAATATGTYTTATACTTTCACAAAGCTAGTTTTGAAATTTTATTTTTTGCATAAATGCCTATTTTGAGTTTATTTTTGATTGATAATTCACGAATTTATGAATCTACCTTTGTAAAATGTCCAATGTACCTAATAAATTAATGAAAATAATTGTATGTGGATTAAGTGGTTCGTGTCATGAGCTATAACTCTATAGTGCCTCTGCCTCATAATATATTTTATTATCTATACACTGTTATTAATATTAATACTGTTCTGCACTTATAAGTTTGTGTTAAATAATAACATAACCTATAACAACTAACTCGTATTGTTGTAATAGTGTGCACATGCAACACWCAAGGAACCGTGGACAATCAGGGATGCAACAAGGAGACGGGAGAATGTACGTGCAAGAGGTACGTRGCCGGCAGAGATTGCAATCAATGCATCCCGGGCTTTTGGGGTTTGTCCGATAGTCAAGATGGCTGTAAGCCGTGCGATTGCGACGTCGGTGGAGCGTATGATAACATGTGTGACGTCCTCACGGGACAATGCTTGTAAGTCATTATAATATGCGTGAAAATTCAAAATAAATAAAATCGGATAGGTGTATTATGAATTTGAATATCTCTTAAATTATGATGCGTGGGTACCTATTTCGTGAATTTTAATAATTTGCATTTTATGTACCTATGTTAATTAGGTGTCGACCTAATTTATCTGGACGTACGTGCAGTGTACCTGAACAAAACTTCTTTGTTGGTCCCGTCGACACTGTGGTCAGCGAAGCTGAATTATCCAATTGCGGACAAGACGTGTGTATTTTACTCATTTTTTTTTTTTCAATTTTGGTCCATACATTTTCAAACTTATTTTACATTTTCAGAATTGTCAAGTATTTATTCGAGAACCTTACAGAGATGGTAGAGATAATACATGGACTGGTACAGGATTTATGAGAGTGTTTGATGATGCTGAGTTAGTTTTTGATTTGAAGAATATACCAATTACAACAAATTATGAAATCGTCCTCAGATATGAACCACAAGTGAGTATTGTTCTACAATTTTCATTTGTTGTACTTGAAGTGAACTAAAATGATGATACCTATACACAACAGTTGCATAATATAGATCGAAAATACTTGACTATGATACCRTTATATTATGTACTTTTATTTTAATATTTAACAGATATTATACATAAATTATATTATTTAGCATTGATTTTTGTATGAATTAAATACGCACATTTTTTTTTTTTTTTTTTGTGAACTTCAGATTCCTTATGATTGGGATGATGTCAGAATTACATTGGAAAGAATGCAACCCATCGAACCTAACAGTACCTGTGCTGAATATGAAGTGAACTACAATGCTGGAGATATTAGAAGCATTTTATTGCCGCAAGGTAAAACAATGTTTTAAGATGCATGTTTGCAGCAATCCAATATTTATCTACTAATATAGTTTTTATGTTATGATTTATGAATGTGTGTTTTCAGATTCTAGGTTTGCTATAGCTACGCCACCAGTATGTTTAGAAGCAAAGAAAGAGTACAAAGTGAAAATTAATTTCCAAAGATACAACAACAGAACAATTAATCCATCCGCGTCAATACTAGTAGACTCGGTAAACACTTAAAAAAAA